ATTCCCCATCTTGGTTGTGTCCTTAAGAAGGGGTGTGCCCGGTGAGTCATTCATTCCACCAGGAATGACCGAGCGCTAACCAGAGGTGCAGCCCCTGGCCGGTCAAGGAAGGAGGAGTCCGTAGCTGGGGAGAGTTCAGCACAATCTCAGAATACTGTTTCACAAACTCATCCTGACGCTGCCAGTGTCATGTTAGGGAAATATCAGAAGAGCTGCGGAGGGGTGAGGATTCCCCTGTTCTGCTTGGCCCCAAGAGGGCAGAACGAGGCGTTGCCGTGGGTGGAAGCTACAAAGGGCTTGATGTCAGAAAACCTTCGTGACTGTTAGAGCCCATCCCTCAGGGCCATGGTCTCAAGAGGGCAGGAAAGACCTGCCGTGGTCTGGAGGCTGTGACCACGTGTCACTGCATGGCAGTGGATGGAGCCTGGGACCTTCAGGACAGTCCCAGCTCAGACAATCTCCCAAGATGCTGGAGTTTCTGTTCTACATGGATCATTTGGGGTTTGGGGACGGCAGTGGCTGTGATGTTCACAAGGATGGGTAGTGTCACACCTGGTGCACTGAAACAGGCACTGGATTTGGGGTCAAAAGTCCTGTATTTGAGGCCCAAGATTTGCCAGTTACTTTGTCTGAGTCTGAACCTCAGTTTCCTTATCTGTAAAATGGGGACGATATAGCATCTACCCCAGGATTGTTGTGAGAATCAGCCGAGATAATCATCATAAAGTACTTAGCACAGTGCCTGGCACACAGCAAGTGTTATATAAATGTTATTTATATTATTATCTGTAAAATTATCTGCGTTGTTATTTGTAAAATGAAGGGGTTGGATGAGACAATTTCAAGTCTCTTCTAGTTCTGAATCCATGACTTCTGCTATGACCTCTGCTTCTCCTTGGTACTGCTTAGAAATACTCTTGACAGGGGTCAAGAGAAGAAGCGTGGTGTTATGGATAAACTGCTGGACCCAAGACAGAAAGACTAGTGTTCGAGTGTGACCTTGGGCAAACTTCTGTTTGCCTCAGTTTTGTCACCTGTAAAATGAGAATTTGGACTCTAGGGTTGCCAAGATCTCTGATTCTCTGAGCCAGTAACCTTTCTGGTTGAGTGGAAGAGAGTGGGGGCGGAGGTCCTGGTTTGTCTTCCCAGGTTGTCTTAACTTTGTCTCTGTTTCCTCTCCCAACAAGGACCATAAAAAGAAATGATAAATTCCAGATTTGTCCATCATTCAAAGCTTCCAAAAGGTGGCAGCACCGTCCTGGGGAATGAGGCCTGAGTCGCCCTGATCAGGGAATCAGGAATGCTGCCAGGGCCCTTTAGGCGGAGATGGAACAGAAGCAGCAGCAGCCCCCTGCCCCCAGCCCCATTAGCCTGTTAGAGGCCAGAAATGAGCCCCTGGGGGTAACCGCTTTCCCCTTTCATGCTGGTCCTCTTTCACCTCCCAGCCCATCCATCCGTCATGACCTCGAGAGGCTCGGTGAAGATTGAACTGCTCTGTGTTGGCTTATTGAACATGCCCTGTTTTCCATGCTGCTAATTGCTGTGGTGGGCTTAGCCACAGAATGATTTGTTCTGGGATCTCCCCAGCCGTCTAAAGCAGGCTTCCAGAAGGGCCGGCAGGGGCCCTGAGAGCCAGGGCTGAGCTTGTGAACCTCCCCGCAGTGACCCGAGGTCATCATGGCGGAGGAAGGCTGTGGTTCTGGGATGGCTGCTCCTCGTCCCCAGGTTTCATCGCTTCCGGGTTGGGGCTGTGAGAGGAGCTGGGCACTCCTGGAGAGCAGATCTGTGCGTGGTTTATGGATTCAGAGCTGGAAGGGACCTTGGAAATCACTTAGTCTAACCTGCCATCTTGCAGATGAGGAAATTGTGCCCCAGAGCTGTTGTTACTTGCCTAGGACAGCACGGCACCATACGCAAGTCGCAGGGAAGTGACTTGCTCGAGGTCAAGTAGTGAGTGGTAAGACCAGGATTTGAACCCAGAAGTTTTCATAAACGCATTTTTAGAAGTTTGTTTATTCATTTGTTCTCAAGCAGGTCCGAAGCAGCTGGAAGGTTTTAGGTGGCTTCTTTTTCAGGCATGTGGAGGTCACATGAGTTCCATTGAGTGCTATCACTTCTAAATTCCTAAGAGAAAGCCTTCCAATGATTCCCTGCCATCATTCATGGGCACCCGAGGCTGAGCTTGTCTTTGAATTGGGTTGTCTGTGACGTACAATTTTTTTTTCCTTCGCTGTAGGAATTAGAAGGAAATAAGTCTGTAAAATGTCTGATTGGGGGGAATAGATGCTGCAGAATGAACCAAAAGATGAGATTGGCTGTGACGGAAGCAGGGGGATGGGGTGGAGGGTGCCTCTGAAGCCAGCAAAAGGAGGCTTTGCCAGGAACCGGTCCATTTGGTTCTGGTTTTTGATTATTCTTGTTCCCTTGTGTTTTAAAATTACCTTCATTCCAAATATGTATATATCCCTTCCCCAACCCCTTCCCAGAAAACCATTTCTTGTGACACAGAGGGGAAAAAAAGTTCAGCAAAAGCAACAAAGTGTGAAAGTATATATATATATATATATATATACATATATATACACAGTGTTCCATCTTAGTAGTGGTCCTTCGCCTTTGTAAAGAAGGGAGAGAGAGAGATTTTTGCAACTTTATAATTATTTTTAAGTGGACGCTGCCTCATCTGTCCTCTGGAGGGCACTGTCATTACACAGCTTTGTTTCCCTTTTCTTGCTGGTTTTTTTTCCATTTACATTGTCGTAGTCATTTTGTAAGGGGCCGCTAGGTGGCGCCATAGCACACAGCGCGCTGGCCTTGGAATTAGAAAGATCCTAGTTAAAATCTGGCCTCAGACACTTCTTAGCTGCGTGACCTTGGGCAAGTCACTTAACCCCTATTTGCCTTGGTTCCTCATGTGTAAAACGGGGACACGCTGGAGAAGGAAACGTCAAATCACTCCAGTATCTTTGCCCAAAAAACCCCAAACCTCACAGAGAGTCAGACGTGACTGAACAATGAATCGCTGTGTATATGGTTTTCCTGGTCCTGTTTTCTTCCTTCCCCATCTGTCTCTCTGAGTCTTCCCAGGCTTCTCTCAATTTTCCAGGTTTACAGTTTCTTACAGCGTCGTAACATTCCATGATCCTCCTCTGCTTGGTTGGATTGATGCACGTGTATATTTTTTTATCTGATCTGCCTCGTCACTCACTGTTGGCCAGTCTCCCTTTCTGGGTAGGGACGGACAAGATAACTCATCTGCCCTAGGAGAATGCAAGCTTCCCGAGGACAGGGGTGAGTCCTTGTTTTTGTCTCTGCATCTCGGGGCCTAGCACTTAGTAGGTGTTTAATAAATGCCTCTCAGCTTGGATCGTCGTTTGGGGAGCCCTGCACATCAGTCTCTTTAATGCAGACGCAGTCTCCCCAGCCCCTTTCTGCCAACTTTTCCTGCATCCACACCACCCCTCCACAGAGACCAGAATGCAGTCCAGTCAAATGGACCAAGTCATGTGTGCCTCGAGTCCTAACTGCGTCAATTCAAATGACTTTTTCACCTTTGTTGCAATTAGCCTTTTCTGGGGCTTGAGGAGCTATTTTTTAAAGAAGAGCTATGTTCTGGCTGTCTCAATTTCCAGCTGTCTTGTATGGTCAATGACGGCCAGGTCCCATTTGCTGCTTTTCATTTACCGGATCATGATTTTTTTATTAAATTTGATCATTGCAGCTTTGTTTCTGGGGTAATAAGGGCAGTGGGCTGGGTTTGGAGTCACTGGACGGGATCTAGTCCGACGTGGGCCTGAATGTCATTGAGCTCAATAAACATCGTTAAGCACCTACTATGTGCCGGGCCCTATGGCTGCAAAGCCAAAAATGAGACCATTCCTGCCATCCGGTTACTTAGCCCTCCATCTCCCGGGGCAGCCCATTCCACAGCTCTTACAGTCAGGAATCTGAGAAACAAGTCTCAGCTGCCTTTTTACAGCTTCCAATCAGGGCTCCTGGTTCTCCCTTCTGGGACCAAATCGAGCAAAGCTAATATCTCTTCTGCTTGGTATTCCTTGAGATCCTTGAAGACAGCTGCCATCGCGTCCTCACCGAATTTTTTCTTTTATTAAAACTCTTCATATTAAAAATCCCCAGTTTCTCAAAGGATCCTCCTATGGTATGAAGTGCAGGCTTTTCGCCATTCTGGTTGCTCTCCCCCAGATGCTCTCCAGTTTGGCCGGGTCCTTCCTCAAACACGGCTCCCACCATCGGACGCCATCTCTAGCTGTGGTCTGACTGGGGCAGTGTCCGGTGGGACTATCGCCTCCTTATTCCTGGAAGCTCAGCCTCTCTTCCTCCGGCTTGAGATTGCCTAGAGAACCCGATCGTGGGCCCGGATGTGCTCCTTGCTGCCAGTAGGACCTTGGACAGATCCTTTAACCACTCAAGCCCTCAGCTGGTTGACTTGGGGATCTCCCTGAGGTCCCTCCTTATGATGCTGTGACCTGGTCCCAGCTCTAGGTCCGCAGCATCGATTGTTTCCCCTCATTTTGTCCTCGCTGTGGATGAGAAGGAATCCATCTGCCTTTCCCCATTCACTTTGTGAAAGTGGAAGATAGATGTCATGCTGTCCCCTAGCCTTGTGTTCTTTGGGCCATGTTAAGTGGGAGTTCGGGGACTTAGCTGGGTACCCAGGAGTTGACTCGCACAAGAGCAGTTGGGGCAGATGACTGGCTGTTCCAGGGCCAGTCGGTCATCCTCTGCCTTCCTCCTCCATTTGGTTCCCCGATGTGCCTGAGCCATGCTGAGCAATAGGGTCCTGAGAGCCCCCTCCCAGCCCCAGTCTTGCTGGAGGTGGGAAGCTTGCCTGGGAGCTCTGAATTGGCCTCACTAAGTTTCGGTTTATGTTGTTTTGCCTGGATTCCCTCGAGGCCCCTTGCTTCATCAAGGGGGAAGTTCGTAAGGCCATCAGGCCGCGGCAAGACTCTGGGACACTCATACTCGCTCCTCTCTTCCAGGACAATAAATCTGAAGAGTCCCCTGCTGCAGCAGGTCCTGGAAGGGAAGAATGACGTTCTGTGCATCGTGACGCAGAAGATCGTGACGACGCAAAAGTGTGTGATCTCTGAGCACGTCCAGATAGAAGAGAAGTATGGCGGCATGGTGGGCCTCAAGACCAAGAGGGTGAAGGTAGCGCCTCAAGTCGCGCCAGCCGGGGGGGGGGAGTCTGAGGGGGCTGGCGCTGTGCTCTCCCTGGCCCACTGGGGAGGGGGCTGCTTCAGAAGCAGATGGAACTCCCTTCCTGGTGGCCCAGGCTGGCTGATCGCCGGTCAGAGGGCTTGTCCTGACACGGGGTGGGGGGGGGGGGGCTACATGGGCCCTGAGGGTCTTCAGTTCTAAGCGAGGGGAGGCAACCTCTCTTAAGATGTTCTTGATCACACGGCACTTTTCGTGCCAAGAACTCGAAATCCTTCCTTCTCGGCTATAAAGTGGTCAACAAAAGAAGCCTTATGTTACCATGACCAGGGCTGGCCCTATGCCCAGGCCGTGTAGATGGCTGCCTACCTGGTGTGATTGGGGCAAAGCGAGGGGAGTGCTTAGGCTGGCCTAGAGGAAGCCTTGTGGACGTGGGCCTCCCCTGCTCCAGCCTGCTGGGGGGCCTGAGCAGCCCGGGACGTTTGATCTTGAGTGAAGCCCTATCGTCCTGGCTTGGGTCGTAGAAGGTGGAGCCCGGGAAGCTGGAGTCGGGCTTTCCAGTCCATGAGCACGCTGGGAGCAGGCGTGGCCCAGGGCCCTTCGGACTGTGGGCTGGGGTCGGACGGGCAGGGCTTGGGGGCCTGCCTGGGGGAGGAAGGCCTGTGGGGGACCCAGAGTGGTCGAGTGGCCTGGCTGCCGGCTCTGGCCCTGGCACGAGAGGGAGCAGATCAAAGGAAGGAGGTCATCTAGGACACACGTGCCTCGCACATTCCCACTCGCACTGGCACACACTTACATTCACTTTCACACTCTGTCTCACACTTACGCTCTCTGATCCTTTCTCATATTCTGGCCCCCTCCGTCTCTGTCTATCTCTTTTTCTGTCTCTCTCTCATACTCTTACTCCCCTTTACAGATGAGCAAACAGGAGCCCAGAGGCCACTTGCTTCAGGTCACACAGGAAGTAAGTGGCAAAGTCAAGATTTGAACCCAGGGCCTGTGACTTTCATCCTCCACCTTTCCTACTCCAATGCTCCTATTGACCTTTGCTTCAGTCGCCTTTCACGGGTCCCATCACATAACTTAGGCTTGAGAGGCAGTGCGGCCTAGTGGATAGAGCAGGGCCAGCGTTACTGGATCCTAGATCAGAGCGGGAGGAACCTTGGAGGCAGCAAGTCCAACTCCCTCAATTTGCGGGTGAGGAAACTGAGGCCCAGGGAGGTGGAGTGAGTTGGATTTGAACCCAGGTCCTGTGTCTCTTTCTGCTTCTACTTTGAGTTCAACTCCCTTTTCTCCTAGATCCCGACTGTGTGACCCTGGTCAAGTCATGGACCTTTTTGGTGCCCCAGGTGACTTGTTAAGCTCTAGGTTAAGGATGATTGTCAGCCTGCATTGGAGGAAGGACTTTCTGACCTGGGAGGTCTCCACAAAGATGAATTCAGAATTCTGGCCCCTAAAAACGAAACAAAACAAAAAACAGGGGCAGCTAGGTGGCGCAGTGGATGGAGGACTGGCCCTGGATTCAGGAGGACCTGAGTTCAAATCTAGCCTGAGACACATAACACTTACTAGCTGTGTGACCCTGGGCAAGTCACTTAACCCCATTGCCTAGCAAAAAACAAACAAACAAACAAAGCCCCCAGAATTCCGGCCCCTAAGCCCGACAGCTCCTTTTTTATGATGTGTCAGGGTCGACAGCGTGCTCCATTCTGCCACCTGCCACCCCAGCTCGGTCCCCATTGAACAGTCCACAATGCTGAGGCTGGCAAAAGAAGTGCTCTGCCCTCGGCCACACCCAGAGCAGGTGACGGCCAAGGCCGGCCATCTGCGGCAGCTCCTGGTCCAGGAATCCGGAGGCCCAGGCTCCGCCTTTTTTTTTTAATAATGGGAGAAGGAGGCTCAAAACTGGGCAGGTTAAACTGTTTAAACGTTGTGTGGTTTCATTAATATCTCCAGATATCATTCCCCCATACCCATCCTCCCCCCATGGATGCTATGGAGCTTTAGGGTGTATATAACGATGACCTGCCCAGGGCCAAACAACCAGGACGTGTCAGATGTCAGCCTCGAACTAGATTAGAGAAGCAGTATTTCAGTCGTGACTGGCTTTTCATGACCCTATTTGGAGTTTTCTTGGCAGAGATACTGGATTGGTTTGCCATTTCCTTCTCCAGCTCATTTTACATTTGAGGAAACTGAGGCAAGCAGGATAAAGTGACTTGCCTAGGGTCATACAGCTGGCAAGTGTCTGAGGCTGGATTTGAACTGTAGAAGTTGAGTCTTCCCATCTCTAGGCTTGGTGCTCTATGCACTAGGGCGCCCCCTAGCTGCCCCGTCAAGAGGGACAGCATACTACACTAGAAAGAACAGTAGAACAGTAATCAGGAATCAGAAGGACTTGGGTTCGGATTCCCCCTCTGATGATTGCTGTGTGATTTTGTCTACATAAGGACAAGCTTCCCACAACTGGGCGTGTTTGAGAAGGGAATGTGGCTTTGGGTGCTGAGCTTGCCGTCAGTGGGGGGATTCCAGCAGAGGCTGTAGGTGGTATTAGAGCTTGGGCACAGGTGGGATGAGGATTCCTCCACACTCCTGTCCGTGGCTGTGGACCACAGATGCTCCTCGGTTCTCCTGCCACAAAGGTTTACCCACCTTCTTCCTCTGAGCCTCCAGTAAGCCTGCAAGGCGAGGGTCACCCCGTGCCATTTACCGCTAAGGAAACTGACAGTCAAATGACTTGGCCAGGAGTCCATGGCTCTTAGTGGCCGACAGAATTTGAGCTCAAGTCCTGCCTCCTTGTATAATGGTCTTTAGGATTGTCTGCCTAAACTCTTTGGGGCAGGGGTTGGTTTGTTTTTGACTCTTTGTCCCCACCAGTGCCTAGCACAGAGCCAAGTATACCTGGGCGCTGTGTGAATGTTTGTTAAATTGTTGAATTTATAAAACTCCTTGAAGGTCCCAGCCTGGTGGGGGGGGGGGTCCTTCCTTCCCTTTGTCCCCTTCTCTTCCCTGGCCCCTTCCCCAAGTCCTGGAGGCTGTCACCGAAGTTTCATGGTTTACACAGACACCGTGGCCCCCAAGCACCGGCTGCGGCTTCTCTCCTCCCGCACTTTCTTCCCTCTGCGAAGCTCTCGGCCTCGTTTGGCGTTTTCATCAGCGCCTTCAAAGCTGTTTCAATAAACCTCACCAAGGGGCCAGAGCCGGGGCCGCCGAATGCCACCTTGTCCTTTCAGGGCTGAGGGCGTAACCTCGTTTTCCTCTGAGCCAGTGCTGAAACCTCGCTTTCGGTGCCAGCAGGGCTGGCAGCTGGGGGTGAATGAATATGAGGGGCAGGAAGAAGACCCCCTCCCTCCCTGCCCACCTCCTCCCTCTCCCTCAGGTTTCCGTGAGCGAAGATGGGAATGTGAAGAGAGATTCCAACGTGGTCCTCGATATCCCGGTGTCCACCCCCATCGCCTACAGGGTCCTGGAGCTGTACGTCAAGAAGGATGGTCAGTTTGGTGAGTGTCCTGCCTTTCAGGTGGCCCGTGGGCCACCCACTTCAGGTCAGCTAATGCCTAGTAGGCACCTACTGTGTGTCCGAGCACCATGCTGAGGATACAGATGAGGGAATAAAATGAACCAGCTAGGGGTCTGCCTGCAAGGAGTTTACATTCTATTGGAGATGTTATTGTTAAGTCATTTTTCAGTCATGTCCAACTCTTCATGACCCCATCTGGGGTTTTCTTGGCAAAGATCCTGGAGCGGTTTGCCATTTCCGTCTCCAGCTCATTTTACAGGTAAGGAAACTGAGGCAAACAGGGTGAAGTGACTTGCCCAGGGTCACACAGCTAGTAAGTGTCGGAGGCCAGATTTGAACTTAGGAAGATGAGTCTTCCTAAATCTAGGCTTGATGCTCTTTGCACTATGCCACCACCTAGCTGCCCTCTGGAGATGTATAGCATATAATTAGACCAAAAAAAATATGAAGCACTTATTAAGTGCCTACTATGTGCCTAGGTGTCATCATGCTAGACTTGGAATGGGGAAGACATGAGTTAATATCTAGCCTGAGACACTAGCTGTGTGATGGTAAGCAAGTCGCTTAACTTCTGCCTGCCTCAGTTTTCTTGTGAAATGGATGCAAATAGCATCTACTTTCCAGAGTTGTTGAGAGGAACCAATGAGATACAGTTACAGAGCTACAGAAATGTTAACAGGACTGCCGATGTGTAAGGCATTAAGTGCCAGGGATACAAATAACTGAAGGTAAAACTTTCCCTGCCCTCAAGGAGCTTCCATTCCAATGGAGAAAACAATGACTGTGGTCTGGAAATTCAGAGATGGTGAGTAGAGCCACTGGGCTCTCAATGGCCAGGCATAGTGGTGTGGATTATTACTGCTCCTAGAATGAGAGAAAGTGGGGGGCAGTACCCCCAGGAAGGCGGCTGGCTGCCCTGGCTAGGTGGAGGTGAAGTGGACAGCAGATGCTGGGGGAATGACAGAACACTTACAACTCTGGAGATCCCAAGAGGGGCCTGGTCATGGGCAGCACCCAAACTGAGGGCCGTAGGAAGCCTGCAGAAGGGTGGGGAGGTGGGCCATGCGTTTGGCTGGACAGAGAAGGCACGAAGCCGACTAATAGAAAATCAACTGAGGAGAGTAGGTTGGAGGCAGAATGAAAGACCCAGCGTGCCAAGGGATTTGTATGTTGTCTTGGAGGCAAGAGGGAGGGCTTCTTCAGCTAGGGGGCGCAGTGGATAAAGCCCTGGGCCTGGAGGCAGGAAGACCTGAGTTCAAATCTGGCCTCAGACACTTAGTAGCTGTGTGACCCTGGGCGAGTCACTTCACCTTGTTTGCCTCAGTTTCCTTTTCTGTCAAATGAGCCGGAGAAGGAAATGGCAAACCACTCCAGGATGTCTGCAAAGAAAACCCCAAAGGGGGTCATGAAGAGTTGGGCACAACTGAAAGAACAGAACATCAACAATCACTTTGTGTGTCCTGGACCCCTTTGATGGCAGTCTGGTCAAGTCTACAAAATGACAAAGGAAACCAATTATTTTGAAATACAAATATTACATATTGAAATATCAAAAAATATTGAAATATAATCAAATATTTAAATATTTATCAAAATGTCAGAAACCAAAATCGGTCCCTGGGCCCATCAGAGCTGCTTCAGGCAGAGTGCCTTACCAACCTATGAAATGAGAAAGAAGTTTGGCCCCTATCTCTGAGAGAGAGGCAGGAGGCAGCCTAGCAAGACGAGACAGTGTTGGGCTTGGAGTCAGGAAGCCCTGGGTGCAGGAGGCCCTCTGACGGTACCTTCGCAAATCTCTGGGGTTTGGCCAAATCTCCTGTGTCACGGAGGGGGTGGCGGCAGGAGTTCCCGCATAGATTCTTTGTGTCTTGGTGTTTGTTAGACTGGCAGTGTAGTCAGATCAGAGTTCTGGAGCCCCAAGATCCCAAGTCAAGATTGGAGCCCGACTGTGCTGCTAACCAAACCCAGCCCTCCTGTGATAGAATGGGCCCAGTCCATTTAAAGATGCCTTCCACCTCTCAGTCCTGTGATCTCGTGTTCCCTCCTAGGCTACCAACGCCTCAAGAACTGGGAAAGCATCTCATTCTTGGTGCGGGGTCCATGATTATTAAGTGTCTGTTGAATCAAATCGGAATCAGGGATGGTTCAGATGAGTGCCATATTCAAGTTGTTACCTTGGGAAGAAATTCCCTGTCCTCTATGAGGATTCTGTGGCTCACACCATCTCTAGACCTTCTCTTCTGGAAGGGAGGGCTACAACCGTTTGTTGACTGGCTGACTAAGCCAATATGGGTCCCTTAGGAAAATAAACCTAACTTTAGCAACATCCACGTCTTCCCTTTCTTTCCACCCCTCTCACTCCTCTTCCCTCCCTTTTCTCTGTCCTTCCCTCTTCCTTTGCCCTCCCTTTCTTCTTCCTCCATCCTAAATGGAGGATCTCCCAGTTTGATCCCCCTTCTATCTCCTAGCCTTGGTTTTCCACTTGGGTATTTTCCCAGAATCGGACCCACCCTTGAAAGTTGCCGATTTGTCTTGAGGCTGTTCGGTAGACTGGGCTGCAGCATTTCAGAGGCTGCTGAAGCTTCTGGAGTTCCAGCCCTGGGAAGAAAGCACGGCCCTGCCCTGGCCATCCCCTCCCCGGCTCCTGCTATGTCTGTGCAGTGCATGCTGAGGGGGAACAGTAGAGAGCACCCACCACATTTGTCCTTTCTTGTTGACACACATCAGGGGGCTTCCCTTCCCTTGGAGAAAGCTTTCCATGTGGGTCATCATGGGGTCAGATGTAGAACAGGACTTCCAAGGCCATCTAGTTAAACCCTCTCATTTTATGGATGAAGAAACTGAGACCCAGGAGGGGAAGATATTTGCCCCAGGTCACATAGGTGGCAAGTGGCATCAGTGGCATTTGAACCCAGGTCTTCTGGTTCCAAATCTAGTTCTTTCCACTACCCTAGACCTTCCTTGAAAGACTTTACCCAAAAACCACCTGAAGCTTGGTCCCTCACATGAAAAAGCCAATACTTTCACCAATGACAGAGCCAGCTTGTCTGGGAGGCAGCCTGGGGACACTGGGAGCTTGTAATTTTGTATAGTTGACCTTGAATCCTGTCCCCCCCTCCCCTGGGGCTTTTGGGCTGTCCCAGCTTCGTGGAGGCCTGAGCCCCTGTTTGCATTTCAATTTCAGACCTGCTTTCCCCCTTCTCTTTTCTTTGCAAATAAATTGGTCTTTGTGCTATTGGGAGATGGTCCCCTGGGACTTCTTTCCTTTCCTTTGGCTCCTTTCTCATGCCCTGGCCTCAGGAAGGTGGTTCTGTTTTTCGTGTGGGGTCCTTGCTTTCCCATCGCTGAATCGCCTGTTTGTCCAGAGTCTTTGTTTGGCGTGACTGGCGGGTGAGTGTTGGCATCCTGTTCTGGGTTTTGTCTATCCGTGTTCCGAGTCACTCTTGCCATGGAACATTCTGAATAGTTCCACATTCTATAGTTTGGTCTTTGGACTGGACTGGACCAGACTGGACCACCAAAGACTGGTCCACCCCCCACTTCTGGCCGCAGCTAATCCAAAGCCATTCTGGGAAGAAGCTGCCTCCCCTTTCCCAAGACCTAGAGCTGAGAGTCCCCTTTGGCAATGCGCTCTGAGGTCCCCCAGTTCTTCCACTTGGGCATTCTTCCCAAAGTCTCAGCTCACTCAGCTTGACTGCAATCTGGTCTCATTCTCAGATGACCATTCCTTGATAGAAGTTAACCACCCGCTCCCTGCTGCTCAAGGTGCCCCTCTGTGGGACTGAAGATTGTAACCGAGAGAGACACTGGGATGTGTACTGCTGGACCTCTAGCCAGAGACACGGGGCTCAAGCCTGACTCCAGCATCTCCCAGCTGGGTGACCCCGCACAAGGGACTGAACCTTGGAGACTGGATTTTCTTATCTATAAAATGGGGATAACAACGGGGATACTGTGAGGATTGAATTACATAATGCATTGAAAAGTACTTTTCAAACCTTAAATCACCATAGGAATATTAGCTATTATTATGATCATTATTATTTTTAGAGAATGCTTAAGCATCATTCATGCCGTGGTTCATTTTACAGAGAAGGAAACAAAAATTCTTCTCTCAGAGAGGCTGAGAGCTTTGTTCAAGGTCACACAGGATTTCCTAGGTGGCGTATAAGCTCCAGTCCTCCTAACTCTCCCTTTGATCCTGATTGGCCATTTCTGCGATTGTGGTGATTTGTGCTCCTATCTTCTTATTTTCTACTAGATAATTCTTATTATCCCTTCTTATCCCCTATTAGATTATAAGCTCCCTGAGAACTCAGAAAGGCTTTGTCTGATTTCATCTTCATATCCCCAGGACCTAGAACTGTGCCGTACAAGTAATAGGGACTAATCAATGCAGGTTGAATTTTTGTATCCAGTGTCTGCTCAATTCAATTTAGCAAATGTTAAATTGAACACCTGCTGTTTTATGATGAGAAAACTGAACCCCAGAGAAGGGAAAAAGTGACTTGCCCAAGTTTGTCCAGGTTAGTGAGTGGCAAGGTAGAATTTGAACAAGGGATTGGCATTGAACTAGGGTCTTCTGACAATGAAGTGACTTGTCCAAGGTCACACAGCTAGTAATGTGGGTTTCAAAGCCAGGTCTCCCTGTGTTGAGTGCAGCACTCTGCCTACTAAACTCTGGCTCTCGAATAGCCTTTGATTTTTCAGCCCTTGTGCATTTACTATTCTGAGTTGGGGTCTTATCCAGCCCCTTCTTATGCTGTCAGCTCTCTCTTGAATACAGGAACTAGAATAAACCTTGTGGTTTCCCCTCCCCCCCCACCCCAGCCAGGGCATCCAGGATCTGCCATTTCAGAAACAGGATCCACCCACAGCTGGGTAGCTGGGCCTAGAGAGCTACTTGCTCATGTTCATATCTATGGATAGATCTGAACCCAGGCTTTCTGACTTCAGATCCATATCCCCTTCTCTGTAAGCAGTTGGATGAATGGATGGATGGTTATGTTGTGGTTTAGGGGTGCTGGGAACCCCGAAATGCAAGGGTACAGGGCAGGAGTCTGCCTCGAAAGAATTTGACCACTCAAGCCTTCTTTCAGTCCAAGTAGTGAGTTTATTATGACGTTGGTTGGGTTAGTGAGATTTCTACTAAATCTGTGGTATTTGTGATGCCAATACAAGCAGGCCAGATTCCTAGTGAGTCTGCACATTTGATGAGGACAAAATTGGTACTTTTATATAGAAAAAGACTGTGAGAAAATCTGGATGGGATCTAGGAGCTGGCAAGTAGCCTGGGGTGGTGGGGAGATAGCAGAGAAAGGGACCCAGATGGGATTAAGGAGTGTCAAGTAAGCTAATTAAGTAATCAAGGTGGGCTGGGGTGGGCCAGATGCCTCAGCAAACTCCTGGGATCTGGGCCATGTGGGAAAGTCCAAGGCATTTTAGGGTTCCATCATTAGTGCCCCATCAGTTACCATCAAGAAAAAAATATTGCTACTGTACTGTGCACTTTAGACAGAGCCTGCCAGAAACAGTCTGTGTTTCTAACAGTATTCTAAGTCCAGGCATTTCTAGCTTAGAGAAATAGACAAACGGGCATAGGTGCCCTCATGTCCTGGGACATCTTAGGCACCAAGACAATGTTTATAGGGCTCTTGCAATTAAGGGTTAACATTCCAGATAACAATAGTTACTTAATTTTTAAATAAAACTTGTTTGACTACTCTCCGTATTGATTGACTAGGCCTCCTTCCTAAGGTCAGAAGCATAATCCTTTCTGAGTGGAGAAAGGCAGTTGAGTTCCATCTCAGAGAGATCTCCTTTTACTTTAGCCTTTGTTCTCAATTCCTTACACATTTTCCTAAAGGTCTTTAAATAATATTTCTTAATAGTTTCAATTGAATTAAAAGGGAGGTTTTTAATATGCTTTCACAGCTAGGAAGTCACTTCCTCATTTTACAGACTGGAAAATTGAGGCCCAGAGAAGGAATCTACCCTGAGTCATAACACGTTATAAATGGCAGAAGGGAGATTGTAGAGGTGATGTTGTTTGGAGGAAGGAGGTGAAATCTGGAGTAAGAGAACCTGTTTAAATCTTGCCTCTGATGTGTATGTGTTGTGTGACCTTGGGTTAATCACTCAACTTCTGGGGCTGAAGTTCCTTACCTGTAAAATTAGAAGGCTGACCTGGTGGACGCAGTGATCCTCCCAGCTCCAGATCTGGGACTTCTAAGAACCTAGGTCAAGGGCGGGGAACCTGCAGCCTGGAGCCCCCATGTAGCCCTCTAGGTCCTCAAGCGCATCCCTTTGACTGAATCTAAACTTCACCAAACAAATAGGCTACGTGTGGCCTTGAGGCTGCAGGTTCCCCACCTCTGACCTAGGTCTTCCCACCCAGGGCTCTTTTTCTACAGGCGACTGACTCAAAGTTGGAGCTTCCCTGTTGGAATACTTGAACCCTGGCCTGAGGAGTGATGTGGGTCAAGAATTTTGTTGCTGAGTTGTTTCAGTCATGTCTGACTTTTCATGACCCCCTTTGGGGTTTTCTTGGCAAAGATACTGGAGCGGTTTGCCATTTCTTTCTCCAGCTTATTTTACAGATAAAAATTTTACGGGAAACTGAGGCGAACAGAGTTAAGTGACTTGCCCAGGGTTACACAGCTAGTAAGTATCTGGGGTCAGATTTGAACTCAAGGTGAATCTTCCAAGGCTGGTGCTCTATCCACTGTGGTACCACCTAGCTGCCCCCTGGGCCTAGGACCAGAGCCCAATTGAATTCAGCAAACATTTATTTATTTAGCCGGATACCTTGTCCCTGGTGTCCCTGCCCTTGATGAGCTTGCATTATTATGGGAGAGAAGGGCAGGTGGTGCACAGCCTGAGTCTTTCCTTAGCTGCTCCCATCTGATAGCAGCCTGTTTTGCCCTTGAGTTATGCCCCCTTCTTTGCTCAGTGAATGCCTATATGGTGGTGTCCACACAGGGAGATGGTTTTCTCCCAGTAGGGAAGGGACAGCCAGGGGAAAACTATAATGCTTCAGACACACACACCACCCTCCCCCCTTTCCCCTAAGGCACATCCATTAACACTGACCCCACTGGCTGGCTTATCTTCTATCCTATGCCACAGAATTCTGCTTGCTGCAGGAGAAACGAGGCGGCTTTGAGCGAGAGAGTACCGATGGCCCCGATCAACTGGATGTCGGGATCTTCGGAGAGTTTCTCTTCCCCTTCATGCTGGACGCTGTGGATGGGAATTCTGAGGCTGCAAAGCTCGTGCCTACTGAGGGGCCGTTGAGCTCCTTAAAACATGGTATTGTGAGCAACGTGTGACTTGATTAATCCCCGAGTTGGCCCTCAGCCAGGGAAATGTCCTGGCCAAATGGTTAATGTGATGGCTCGCTTTAGTCTTATTCTTTAAAGTGTAGATGTTTTATTAATGTTTTCTTCAAACGAGGGGGTCTGCCCAGGTGGCCCCTGAGGTCCCTTCCTGCTCTAAATCCCACCTTGGGACCTCGAACAAGCCTCTTCAAGCTCCTTTTGACCTCAGTTTGCTCATCTGTAAAAGGAGAGTATTAGATGGGATGACCTCTGAGATCCCAAGACCTCCGACCCCGTAATTCTGAGACCTCAGGTCTCATAAGGAATCCACCTTATGAAGAAAGGATGAGGAGGTTTGGGTTTTTTTTTTTTAATGGAGGTGGGGGAAGGTTTTAAAATTTTTTTCAACCACAGAAGCCTTGCTAAGAATAGCTAGTCATCAGCCAGAGCGGCAGCATGGGCTTGTGCATCTGTTTTTCTTACATTCTCGGCCTCGCTGCCAGCACCAGCACCAGCACCAGCACCAGCACCAGCACCAGCACCAGCTCCATGCTGGGAGCCACACAGAGCACCCTTCCAGATCATTTACCACATGGCAAGGAAGGCTCTGGCTGGGCGCATGGGTAGAGGCTGGGCAGCCGTTGCTGACGCTTCTTTCGCCTCCAGCCTTTTGTGTCTGGAGAGGCTTTGGCTGGGGGTGGGGATGGGGCTTGGGAAATGGAACTGAAGATGGGACAAAAGTAAAGGATAGCATGGGATCTCAGGATGTTGGTGTCTGAGCCAGTCAGATCCATGAGAAACAGGGTGGTCCTGAAGACCAAAACAGCGAAAGCAAATGTTTATGGCCAGGAGAATGAGCTGGGGTGGGGACGACGGAGCAGGGGCTCATGGTCCCAATCCTACGTGTTGTCCCAAAGTGAAATGGGCTGCTTAGGGAGAGAGGGACTTCCCCCTCCCTGGTGGCCTTCCAGGGAAGGGTGGATGAGCTTTCATTGGGGGCTGTCAGAGTTGGGGTTCTTATCCAGGAAAGGCTCAGACTACAGGGCCATTGAAGTGCCATCCAACTGGGAGATTCTGTGATTAGATTTGACCCAGATAGTAACAGTAGCTGACATGTATGTAGCACTTGGTTGTCTAGTCATTTTTTTCGGTTATGTCTGACTCTTCATGCCCCCATTTGGGGTTTTCTTGGCAGAGATACTGAAATAGTTTTTCTATTTCCTTCTCCAGCTCATTTTACAGATGAGGAAACTGAGGCAAACAGGATTAAGTGACTTGCCCAGGGTCACCCAGCTAGTCAGTGTCTGAGGCCAGATTTGAACTCAGGTCTTTCTATTTCCAGGCCTGGCACTCTATCCATTGTGCCTCCTAACGTATTATATAGTACTTTAAGGTTTGCAAAATCCTTTACCTATATTCTTCTTATCGTCACAACAAACCTGTGAGGTGAGTGCAATTATTATCCCTATTTTACAGATGAGGAAACTGAGACAGATAGCTTAAGCAACTTACCCAAGGTCACAGAGCTAATAAGTGTCTGAGGCAGGATTGGAAGCCGGGTGTTCTGGGTACTCCTTCCACTCTGACACACTGCCTCCTTTCAAATGATCTCTCTAAGATGTCATTTAGGTAGGAAAGAAAACTGACTGACAGAGGTGAGTGAACTTGCCCCAGGTCCCCTGTGCCCCGTACTAAGGGGATGGATTAGGTTTAGATTAGCCAATGGATTGTTCTAGATGGTTCCAAATGCCCACAGATCTATGTTATAAGAAAACTGACACCCCTTCAGGGCTCTGGGGATTGGTGCTTGGTTTCTATGGAGAAAATGTTCATATTTAAGGAACCAGAGTGGGGGGCTAAATTGTAGAAGGTCTCCTAATCCAAGGGCAGGCTGGTCTCATGGCAGGGCAGTCATGGGGTGGTATGGATTTCCTGGCTACTTAAATGAGGTAACAAGGTACGGTCTCAGCAGTGGGGGAACCACAATGCCAACCTGTGCTGTGAGAAAGAACGAGACCTCCCCAGTGCCATCTACCTTGCAGCCTGATTGGCCTGGGAGGGTGCCCCCTTTGAGAAGCCCAAGAAAGTAGACAATCAGGGGGATGGACCTGGGGACCTCAAGGTCTTACTCTCTTTCACTCTTCTCCCTCAGCCTCTAGTTCTCGAGTTGTCCTTGGTGTCCTGAGGTCCATTCCAGCCTTCTGAGTATTTGCGAGGCGCTCTTTTGGGTGCTGAAGACATAAAGACAAACCAAATTGTCTCTGTCCTCAGAGTGTGTACAACATGTCCCCAAAATCTTCATGCCATTTTAAGTTATTAAAGCTAACAAAACTTAAAGCAACATGAAGACTTTGGGGATATGCTGTATTTAACTGGGGAGATACAACATGTGGCCAAAAAAATACAAAATATGTGCAAAGTAAACACGAAGTTACGTATTTGTGTGTTGTGATTTGTATGTACATATATGTACGACTATATGTATATGTATACACATGTGTATATTTTAATAATTATAATAATTGATATTTACATAGCGCTTACTATGTGCCAAGTGCTGTGCTAAGTGATTTACAATTATTATCTCACTTGATCCTTACCACAAACCTGGGAGGTAGCTGCTGCTGTTATGCGCACAAATAAGGAAACTGAGGCAAATAGGACAGGACTTCCCAGAAATCATAAGTAATTGACCCAATTAATATCCTTCTAGTTGTTTCTCACACGAAAAAAAATAACGAAGCTTTAAGATCAACATTGTCTTTTCCTCCGCCCTGTGGGTGGGATCTGACCATGTTCTAGCCGGGCAGAAAGCCGAAGACTTGGAGAGGACCACTTGGCCTGAGTCTGATGTACCCAGTGTGGGAAATGGCACCGAGGGGAAGGATGCCAAGGGGCTGTGGAAAGCCAGAGCCCCTGTTCTCTCCTGGCAGAGGCTGGTGGTGGGCTGGGACCCAGGCCATGTGCTGTTGTTGCTTCCGCAGGGATACTGCTCTTGGAGAGGAATTTCCGTCCCTTTGTGGAGCTGTCAGGGCATCACCAAGCAGCTCTGTGTGAAAACCTCTGGGAAATCCTGTTCAACGATGAATTGGTGGTGGCCCTGGACACTGTGGTAAGGGAAAGGGCCTTCGAGCCTCAAGACTTCTACTTTCTCATCCGTGACTGGCATAAAGTAGGTGCTTAGAAAATATTTCACATGAGCCAGACTCTGGACTTAGGGGGAAGTGGGTGCATAGCTAGAAGGGAAGTCATAGTTCCCTAATTTATCCTTATCATTCTTTGCGTGTGTGTGTGTGTATGTATGTATGTACATATGTAGGGGTGTGTGTGTGTAAAGAGAGAGAGTCATACAGGTAGAAAAGGAGATAATCAAATCCAGGGCCTCAGTTTCCTCATCTGTAAACAAGGGGGTTGTACCATATGATCTCTGAAGCCTCTTCTAGCTTTAGACATTTCCTTGTCTGATCCTAGGGTCCTTTCCAGATTTCCTTGATACCCCAGGAAGATGGGGGTCAAAGGGCCAGGAGCTATTCATCTCCCTCCCCAAATGATCTAGTTGGATATAGAATTGGCCACCCCAATAGATGGAGGATTCCTTCTTGGCAAAAGTTGATAAAAGTTTTACTGATGCATTTTGGTGTGTGATTTTTAGTACTTGTCACCATGTGACCTTGGGCAATTCACTTAATCTCTGTGGCCCTCGCTTTCTGCAGCTCTAGAGAGAGAAGATAGGAATGGATGACAAGTGAGGTCCCTTCCAGCCCTAAGTACCACCCCACCCCCACCAAACTGGCTCGCCTGTTATTCCTCATACCTGACTCCATCTACCACCTCTCTGCCTTTGCACAGGTCATGCCTCCTGCCTGGAGTGCCCTTTCTCTCATCTTTGCTTCTGAGAACCCCTTACTTCCTTCAGATCTCAGCTCAAATGCTGCCTCCTATTTGAGGTCTTTCCTGATTACCCCGCTCTCCCAGCTACCATTGCTTCCACCCATTCCCTTTTAAAGGCAGCTAGGTAGTGTAGTGGAGAGAGTGCTGACTCTGGGGTGAGGTGCATCTGAGTTCAAATCTGGCCTCAAACACTTATTAGCTGTGTGACCCTCTATCTAACTCAGTTCACTTAGCTGTAAAATGAGGATAATAATAGCACCTACTTCCCAGCATCGTGAAAATAAAATGAGATTACATTTCCAAAGCACTTTGCAAGCCATCAAATACTATATCAACACTAGCTAGTATTATTTTATTTACATTGTCCAAACTTATCTGTGTATGTGTTGTTCCCCCTGAAGAATGCAAGTTCCTTGAGGGCAGACTCTCATTTTGTTTTTGTCTTTATATCCTCAGTCCCCTACAGAGGCCTGGCACATAGTAGGTCATTGATAAGCAGTTGTTGGCACTTAGTAGGTGATTGATTCTTGTTTTAGGTACAGGCTGGAATAGAGGGTTCTGCAGGCTCTGTGGCACCATCTCTCTGGGGATTATTGGTCATGCATGTGCTAGGAGCAGGAAGGAAGGAATGAAAAAAAAATAAACATTTACTAGGTGAGAAAGCAAGACAGCGTGGTGTGGTGGCTACAGCTGACCTCAGAACCAGGAAGCCTCAGATCTGAGTCCTGCCTCTCATTCATCCTGGCTGTGTGACCCTGGCCGAGTCATTTACCTTCTTGTTCTCTAGGTAACCAAGGCTCTAAGTTGCAGAGAAGGTACTGACCTGCATTGGTGGAGGGAGTTTCTCCACCTGGGAGTTCCCTATATCAATGAGTTATTGTTCCCAGACCCTATTTTGTCCCCTATCCCTGATTAGGGGCCAAGGTCTGAGCCTGGGATGACCCTCGCCTTCCAAAGTGTGCTTTCTGCCTCCGATTCCATGGAAAAGTCACTTGCCTCTCTGGGCCTTAGTTTTCCTATCTATAAAATGAAGGGATTGGATTAGATGAGCTCTAAGTGTCCTGGGATCCTATGCCTTTGCCAGCTGCTGCTGTCTATCCCTACATAATCTGGACTGCCTCCTTCTCTCCTAACTCCTCATTTCTTTAAGCACTAACAGTACAGACCCTGGAGGCTGCATGGCTTCGAATGGTAGGCACAGTGAGGGGGGGTGGGCAGCAGGGCCAGGAAGCTCCATTGGCTTTATTGGGAACAAACAGACTAAGGGGTGCTGGACCTCGTTCTCTTTCTTAGTTATTCTGCTGGTGAGGTGAGGTTCCCAAAACTCCTAACGTGCCACAGCAGAAGCCGGCCGGCTGCCAAACAACCTTCTCTCTGGCCCTTGGGGACAGCTCTCATTCACTTCAAGTGACTGATGGGTGAAAATAAATCAGTCCAATTTTTAATTAACTTTTTTTTTTTTTGGCAGAGGCTTCTGAAACTCTGACTTAATACCTTTCCATTTCTCAAAAAGACTTTCCATGTTTTCTTCCTGTTGAAATCAGACTATACCAGGGAGCCTGGTAGCGGCTGTGGCCACAGGGCACTGGCCACCTGGCTGGGCCATGCCCTACTCAGCTGTTCAGCCCCAAGCACTGGAGGCAGCCTGGCGTGGCTGAACATGGCTGAATCGTACGTCCCCAAATAGTTCTTCTTTAAAAGTGAAACGTCCAGCAGGCTTCCTGTCATCTCTCTCCCCCAGATGTCCCACCCTGCTGAGTAAAAAGCTCTACCTGCCCTGGCTTGTGTGGGAAAGGAAAGAATGGGTGGGAAAACCTTAATGTGGAGAGGCTAGGGCTCCCCTCCTGGAGAATGAACATCTCCTTTCCAAAAAGCATTTGTTAAGCGCCTGTTAGGGGCACAAAAACAAAAATCAGCTTCGATCTACTGGGGTGGGAGGAGGTTCAGCCTGGCAACCAGATGATCTTAGCCCTGGAGCTGCATGGGGTCCCAGAGGGTCTCTGGGCATCATTTTGCAGATGATAAGTACACAGATGAGAGCTGGATCTAGTCTTGTGATCTCACTGGTAGAGGGAACTTCCAGGGGAGGAAATTCCTTCTCTCAGTGCAGGTTGGCACCTTCTCTGTCACTGGGAAGCTCGTCCAGAGCCCTGAGAATTTACACAGCAGTCTGTCTGAGGCAGGACCCGACTCTGGGCTTCCTGGCTTTGAGGACAGCTCTCTCTGTTACACTGCCTCTCTATGAATGCAGAGAAGTGTTTGCAAAACATTTAAATACGAAACAATTTTAGGGGGAAGGGCATTAAGAACTGGGAGAATCATGGAAGGCTTCTTGGAGGAGGTGGCACTTGAGCTAAGCGTTGAGGCAGAAGTGAAGTGCTGGGAGCATTTCTGGGGAACAGCCTGTACAAATGCCCAGAGGTGGGAAATGGAATGTTGTGGACAGAGAGCAAGAAGAGGGTAATTGGGCTGCAATGCACAGTGGGCTTGAGGGAAGTGATATGCACTAATCCATTAGTAAATAGATATGACTGAGGTCTGGAGGTGGACCTGAGGGGATTCTAACCGGCTTCCCCCCCCCCCCTCCTTTTGGCTGCTCTTCTCCAGAGGAACTGATTAGCTGGATTCAGATTTCCGCCCCCCCCGCCCCAGGGTCCTGTTATTAAAACTAGTAAGAGCTGTGAGTTTTAGACCCAAAGGCAAAATGCCCTCATGTTCGCCATCAGCTGCCATTGCCCAATTTGGAAGGTTCTGTAGCCACGCTTTTTGGGGGTTTCTTCCTTGTTCTGTATCTTTCTTCCTTATAGAAAATTAGTCACCCCCTCCCCTTCTTTTCTTAAATGGATTATGCTTATGGAATGTTTTTTTCAAACCTATAATTTCCATAAGGGAAACTTTCTTGCCAGTGTTTGATTATTTAAAAATAGTCACACTCTTTAAAATATTCACGTTGTATGTTTTTATAGATGGAAGGGTGTGTGCATGGGTGTGCATGTGTGTGAAGCAGGGAGCACGGAAAGAACCCGTGCTGATATTTCTTAGCTCTCAAAAGCTGCCAGTCTCCTAGCCCTGATTCCAGGCCAGAGTCGTCTGCTGCTTGCATTCGAAATGAACAAGCATCTGGTTGCCAGCTTATCTGCTGTCTTGCCTTCCTTCAACCTGCAGCTTGATGACATCTTCACAGGCGGAAGCCCCCAGCTGACCACACTCGCGGAGCTGAGCCACGTCCAGCAGCGGCAGCTCACTACCTTCCTGGGGCTGGCGGGACTCCAAGTGCAGAAGGATTTGCTGGTGTGGCCGGATACTCAGAGCAATCGGGAGCTGCTGTCCACCATCTATTTCTTCATCAGTGCTCTGGCAGGTATGGGAAAGAAAAAAAAAGTCATGCCCTGTGCCTAGAAAACTGACTTTGGGTTTCAGTCTGTGGGTCTTCTGCCACGCCCATTCTAACTGTGGTAGGAGAGTTGGAATGTACAGATCCCAGGGGCAGGACATCATAGATTTATCACAGAATCTGAGAGTTGGCCGACTGGTCCAACCCGTACGTGAAAGGAATCCATCCCTCTATCGTATCTAATGAGATCAGAGTGAGAAAGGATGCTGAAGGTCGTCTCATTTTACAGGTGAGGAAGCTGTGGTCCAGTAACATGTGACTTATCTAAGGTCACATGCGCTCTGCTGGCCCTCCCACTTCAGGCCAGCCCTTCTGGGTCTCCCTTCCACTCCCTGCCAGACCTTTGGCTCCAGACCTTTTCCTCCCCAGCCCCCAACTCCACCCACACTGCCCCCACCCACTCCCAGACCACCAAAAAGTCCTCTTTCCCTTGTCCTTTGCTTCAGCTGCTTCTGTCCTTTTTCTGGTTGCACTCTCTGCTTTGTGACCATTGTCCATCCCCCTCCCCCAGTCTCCCTTATTTGCACATACAGCTTTGCCTGCATTTGGCCTCTGGCCCTTCTTGTTTCCCTGATGGGGTGTGATCTCTTTGAAGGCAGACTGTTTTCATTTATGCCTTTGGTTCCCCAGCACAGTGCGTGGCACATTTGTTGTTATTCACTCATTTCAGTCGTGTCTGCCTCTTCATGCCCCTATTTGGGGTTTTCTTGGCAGAGATACTGGAGTGGTTGGCCATTTCTTTCTCCAGCTCATTTTACAGATGAGGAAACTGAGGCAACATAGCAGTAAGAGACAGAGCTGGGATTTGAACCCAGGTACTTCAAATCTCTTCCCACTGAACCTTGCAGTCATAGATTTACAACTGGACGGGACCCTGCAGGCCTCTACTGATGAAGAACCAGAGGCTTAGGGTCATATGATAACTTGCCCAAGGTCACATAGGTAGTAAATAGTAGAACCTGAATTTGAACCCAAGGTCCCGGCCAGTCCGTTCTTGGACAGTTCTCATTATTCAGCAGTGTTTCTGGATGTGAAGCCTAAATCTGCCTCTCTAATCTCACCCACTGCTGGTGGGTCTGTTCATTAGAAGAGAGGAATGCTGTCTCCTCTCTTCCTTCTAAGGATGTATCTCCATCCCTTCCCACAGTGGAAAAAAAGCCAGGTCCCTGTAGCCACGCCCTAATGCCATCCCATGCCAAATCAGGGAGTGATTCTGAGCCATCCTGAGGAGGGGCTCTCAGTGACCCCAGGAGCTGGGGGACCTGAGCTGGGCCACTGGTGAGGGGACTGCTCCCTGCTTGCATCACTGAAGCTGCAGGTACCTCAGGTATAGCTGCAGGTACCTCAGACTGTGTTTATCCAGCTGCCCCTCACCCAGGCAGCTTTGAGGAAGAAGGACCCAGCACAGAGAACAGCATGGCTTCCTGCAAGGAGATCAGTCAGTCAGTGAGCATCTACCTAGGACCTGCTAAGTCCCAAGCACCAAAGTTGGTGTCAGGGAGCCAAATACAAAGAATGAAGTAATTCCTCCTCACAGGGAGTTTTACATTCTATTGGAGGCTACAAGTACATATATGAATGTACATGGCTCATCTACAGTAATTATAAAGGCTGAACAGTTAACCACTAGGCAGGCTGGGAGGGAGGATGCCAGCCATGGGGGAACAAGGAAAGGCGTCATGACAGCTCCTGGCGGGCCCCCTCCTGAGGGGCTGTCCTGCTTGGGGTCCCTGGCATGGAGCCGTAGCATCAGGCCACCACAGAGGGACAGCCAGGGACTCCCCCTGGCGCCTTTCCCAGCCCACAGAGACAGCTAAGAAAACAAGAGACGCCTCTCTTAGCACTGGGCACCTTCTAAAAGGAAATTTTGTTCTCTTTTCATCCCCTCAGAAGGGATGAAAGGGAGAAAGGGGGCCTCCTTAGTCTCCCTGGATTTTTCCCTCCATGGCATCACTAGGGAAACTTGGGGGGTCCTTCCCCCCCTGGAGAACCAAGAATAGAGGCAGTGTGTGTAGAGTGGGTTAGCAGATCACACCAGACCAGGAATGAGGAGAGCTGGGCTCTAGCCAGGCTCCCCTGTAGCTCTGTGACCTTGGCTAAGTCATGTCTCTGGCTTTTCTCACTGGGGTCTAAGATTTTGTTTTTCCCCATTCCCCCATTGATATGCTGGGGGACTTTGTCATCCATAGTGTTGCATTTGACATCCTGTCCTGCTCCATGAACTCCTTAGGTCCCTGGGGCCAGTATTGACTTGGCTTCAGTTACTCAGGATCTGGGCAGCCTGCTGTACCCAGAGTCTGACTGTGGCTTTACCTGGCTCGTCCTCTAAGGCTTCTCCTGGAGCTCTGGAATACCCCTCTCCGGGCACAGCGGCCTAGCGTTTACCTTCTGCTGGGCAGCCCAGTGGGGAGGGGCCGGATCCAAAAGCTTATACCACCTGTGGGACTTTGGATCAAACTACTTATGGGGTCTCAATCAAACTAGCATTAATTAAGTGCCTGCTGTGTGCCTGGCACTGTGCTGAGGGCTGGGGATGCAAAGGCAGGCAATCAGTCCCTGTCCTGTAGGAGCTCACGTTCTGAGGGGGGAGACCACGTAAACAACTGGGTCCATTCCAGACGTGCAGAGCAGAGGGAAGTTAACCTAGAGAAGATGGCACTGCTATTTGAGGGGGCAAGGAGCAAGATAGCACGGTAGATGAAGTGCTGGACCTGAAATCAGAAAGACCCCGAGTTCAAATCCAACCTTAGAGACTTCCAAATCCAACTCTGTCTGCCTCAGTTTCGTCATTGGTAAAACGAGGGGTTAGGAATGTATATGTATAGCCTATATCAGATTGTGCACCGTCAGGAGCAGCTAGGTGGTGCAGTGGATAGAGCACTAGGCCTGGATTCAGGAGGACCTGAGTTCAAATCCGGCCTCAGACACATAACACTTACTAGCTGTGTGACCCTGGGCAAGTCACTTAACCCCATTGCCTAGCCAAAAAAAACCAAAAACAAACAAACAAACAGATTGTATGTTGTCTTGGGGAGGGGGAGAAAAATTTTAAACTCAAAAGCTTATTGAAGTGATTGTTGATAAATCAAAATAAATTAATATAAAAAAAAAATAAAATGAGGAGAATAATAGCATGTACCTCCCAGGGTGGTGGTGAGAATCAACAGGGCATATTTATAAAGTGCTTAGCTATGAAAATTCTAACTTATTACCAGGAAGCTACAGAAGGCAGAGTTTGAACTGAGTGGTGAAGGGCACTGGGGAAGCCAAAGGGGTGCGGTGGAGGGAAGGGCAGGAGGGAGAGCCTTCTAGGTATGGGGGACCTTGCAAAAGCCCGGGGGGCTTTCTCTGGGGCTTGGCTTAGTATCGCAAGGCTAACTGCTCTGTAGTTCAGTGCTCTGTCTGGGTCTGCTCCACACCCTGTGCTCTGCTGGCCCTCCCACTTCAGGCCAGCCCTTCTGGTCTCCCTTCCACTCCCTGCCAGACCTTTGGATCCAGACCTTTTCCTCCCCAGCCCCCAACTCCACCCATACTGCCCCCATCCACTCCCAGACCACCAAAAAGTCCTCTTTCCCTTGTCCTTTGCTTCAGCTGCTTCTGTCCTTTTTCTGGTTGCACTCTCTGCTTTGTGACCATTGTCCATCCCCCTCCCCCAGTCTCCCTTATTTGCACATACAGCTTTGCCTGCATTTGGCCTCTGGCCCTTCTTGTTTCCCTGATGGGTTTGATCTCTTTGAAGGCAGACTGTTTTCATTTATGCCTTTGGCTCCCCAGCACAGTGCATGGCACATTGGTTGTTATTCACTCATTTCAGTCGTGTCTGCCTCTTCATGCCCCCATTTGGGGTTTTCTTGGCAGAGATACTGGAGTGGTTGGCCATTTCTTTCTCCAGCTCATTTTACAGATGAGGAAACTGAGGCAAACAGGGTTAAGTGACTTGTCCAGGTCACACAGTATGTGTCTGAGGTCAGATCTGAACTTAGGATGATGAGTCTTCCTGACTCCAATGCCCACTACTCTATGTACTATGGCGCCACCTAGCTGCCCATGTAGCACATAGTCGCTGCTTGATAAACGTGCTGATGATTGCACATGTATAACCCTAAGTCAAATTGCTTACCATCTCAGGGAGGGGGCAGGTGAGGGAGAGAGGGAGGGAGAAAATTTGAAACTCAAAATTTTTTAACAAAATTTAACAAAAAATTTTTTGAACAAAATTTAACAAATTTACACATAAGTGTGTGTGTGTGGGGGAATGTAAAATATAAATAAATAAATAAATCCTAACTCAGTTATGTACCAAAAATAAATAAATTCTTGCTGATTTTGAACATAATTGAGTTTCCCCTTTGGGCCTCAGTTTCCTCACCTGTAAAATGAAAACTAGGCTTCGTTTTAGGTCTCTTCTAGCTCCAAAATCTGTGATCCTCTCTTCTCCGTGATCCTGCTTCTCTACTCAGCTCACGCATTGATCTTTAAACCTCTGCTAGAATCAATCATTTAACATTTCTCAAGGGTCTGCTGTGTGCCAAGCATTGTACCAAGCTCTGGAGATACAAAAAGAGGCAGACAGAATGTGACTTTGGATGGCTGGGTGGAGTCATGTATAAAGTGCTGGATAATTGAATTCAAGTTCTGCCTCAGATATTTACTAGCTGCATGGGTGAGTCACCTAATTTCAGTGTGCCTGTTTCCTCATTTGTATAATGGGGGGTCACAACTGTACCCACTTCTCAGGGTTCTTATGAGGGTCCAATGAGATATGACATTTACAAAGCAGGACAGATACTAGTTACTACTGACTATTTGAATGCAGTAGTAATAGACGGTCTTCAGAATTGCTATGGTTTAAAAAAAAATGCCATTTCTCAATGGCCAGTGTACCTCAGATTATATTGGAAATCTAGGAGTTTGAGTTTGTTACTCTGATCTCGGATGAGCCAGTCTGTCTCCAGAACTGTCCTGGAAGTCTTTTGAGCTTGGCAGGACCCACCAGTGCCCATGGCCCTCCCAGGAGACAGTTTATAGGAATGAGAGGATCAAAGGTGCTAATATTTTAATTTATAGTGCTTTATAAATGCAAGTCATTATTTTTATTAGATTTTTGATGATTTAAATTATTACTATTATTATTAGATGCTGACGCTCTGTCCATCAGGTGCTTCAGTGAGATAGTGATATTGGAGTATAAACTGAAATTGAGGGAAAACAAATTTCATTTGCTCTGAGAAGCAGCCCCTTATTATGTGGATGTTAGTGATTTTGAAGGTCAGTCCTGGTTTAAGGCTCTTTCATTAATACCCATCACTTCTGTCTCTGCTTCCCGCTCACTAAATTCATCAGAATGCTCTATGTCTTCCTGGGATACACAAGAAATGTTAGAATGATGAATGGGCTGGCATATTCATTTTTTTCTATTTCCTAAATAATGACACCTTCTGTTTCTACATGAGGCACAATGCAAAGTGGAGATAGTTCATGCTGGCATCAGGAAGACTAGGGTTTGAAGTTTACCTCTGACAGGTGCTGGCTCTGGGTCCCTGGGCAGTTCATAGGATCATAGCTTTGGTGTTGGAAAGTTCCTTTATTTTTCCCCATTTTTTTTTTTTTGTGTGTGAGGCAACTGGGGTTAAGTGACATGCCCAGAGTCACACAGCTAGTGAGTGTTATATCTGAGGCCAGATTTGAACTCAGGTCCTCCTGACTCCAGAGCCACTGCTCTCTCCACTGCGCCACCTAGCCATCCCATGGAAAGTTCCTTAGGGATCAGCTGTCACAATTTGCAGATGAGGAAACTGAGGCATAGAGAAGGTGACTTACTCAGTCACACAAGCAGTAAGCATTAGCTTCTCAGTGCCCCAGGCAGCTCTCTACTTAGAAGATGCTCCTGATCTCTATATGTGGAGAGAGTTTAAATATGGAGACTTCCCTCTACCTGTGGAATCATGGGTCCTCAGGGGGGATGGGAAAAGTTTGTTGACTCATTAACCCTTCAAAGTTCTCCCTCTTTGGGAATGACTTTGGTCAAGTCATTTCATGCCTGAGCTTCCAGTTTGCTTAGCTTTAAAAACTGGAGTATCCATCAATAAATTAATCACCATCCAAATAAGAATGATAGCTAAGATTTACCTAGTGCTTGCCCTGTGCCAGGCACCATGCCAAAGGGCTTTATAGTCAGTGGACAGAGTGCCGAGCCTGGAGTCAAGAAGTCTTGAGTTGAAATCCTGCCTCAGATACTTACTAGCTGTGTGACCCTAGGCTAGTCACTTGACCTGTTTGCCTCAGTCTCCTCATCTGTAAAATGGGGATAATAATAGCACATATCTCACAGAGTTGTGAGGCTCAAATGAGATACATGTAAAGCACATAGCCAGCACTGCCATTTTAGTTAACATCATCATTTATTTGATCCTCACAACAACCCTGCCAGGTAAGTGCTGAATGCCTGCTAATTGCCTAGCACGTACTGAGGCTACAAAAAGAGGGATGATACTCCCTCCCCTCACAGAGCTTGAAATCTAATTGGGGGAAACTATTGTCTGCCTTCTTTACTGGATTATCATAAGGATTCAATGAGATAATGTGTGTGAAAAGAACACTGGGAGCTGTCCAGTGCTACGTAAATCTGAGATAAATTACAGAACAGTCCATCTGTTCTCTCATTCCAAACTCACGACTGCCCTGTTAAGGAACAGAAGAGTTATTAATGACTCCTGAGGAAAGAGCTAATTAGTGGCAGAGCCAGTCTCAGGGTCTCTCACTTCTGCCTCCAAAGTGCACCTGTCACTCCAGACAACCCTCATGCTTCTTGCCTCCTATTTTAGGGGGTGGATGCTGGGCAGAGCTAGAACTCGTCGCAGGAAAGGTAGGGAGCTTCCTAGGGCATAAGACATAGTGGGTACAAAGGGTACGATACTAAATTTTTTTTTAATGTCCTCATTTTTTGATGCCAGAGAATTTCTCCATGGCTTGAGCTTGTGATAAGGCAAGTGGCATGAGTTATAATGAAGTCTCATGCCCTCTAGTGGAAGTACGACCCACTGGGAGGTTGGGGGTGCACTCCTGAGGCTCTGCCCACGGTACACCAGAGTTTCTCCCGGCTCTGCTTAGGGGTCCGTCCATCATAGCAGCAGAAGCCCTATGCTGCTATAGGATCCCAGAGGGGTACTGGGGAAGGTGAGCTGCCCTAGAGCAGCTTGGGAAAGGCCTCCCAGGAGCTCAGGGTCCTTTCTTCGCTCCCCTGCATTCCCTAACTCAGTCCCCAAGAACCCAGGGCAGGTTCTGCCCACACTGAGCAGGGAAAGGCTGCTGGTTCTTCCCTCCCCTCCCCTCCAGGTGTTTATCCTGGGTTGACACCATCCCTAGAGAAGCCACCTTTTATAAATAAAGCTGTTAATTATTGCAAGAGGATGAGAAGGACTCAGAAATCACTCGTGGGTGAGCGTCACCATGTGAAAGATGGCGAGGAAGCCCGTTTCTGTTTCCTTCCTCTTTCTCTATTTCCTCCGAACTTTGAATAAAAACAAAGATTCCAGGTGGCCCAGAATAACTTTGTAGATTGTGGCTCCTTAGGGGAACAGGGGCCCCCTTCTAGGAGCTGCCACTCCCTAGCAGGTCCTAACATAATTTGTGTGAGTGGGATACTCAATCGTGTTTTCTGACGTTCTATTGATTCTCTTTGCCCTTTATACCACTTATTACGTACTCTAGGTCCATCCTCACCCTCTCCTCCTGTCTCTGGATGTTCTCTCCCATGCCCACGCCCCTTTCCCTCCCCATGTGGCTACGTCTCCTCCCTCTCACCAGTTTCCTGATGCATTTCCTTCCTCATTGGAATGTAAGCTTCTCCAGGACAGGTGCTTTCTGCTTGTATTTGTGTTCCCAGCGTTTATAGCACAGTAAGCCTTGGATAAATGTTTGCTGATTTGACGGCACCTGCCACACCTAGTGTGGTGCAGGCCGCTACCTCCCTGTTTGGCTAGCTTCAGGGCTGGAGAAGCCCTGGGTTTGAATCCTGCCTCAGATGCAGAACAAGACCTCAGTCTGATTGCACAGTCATAGGATGTGGTCTTCCTTTGTCAGTGACTCTGGCTTTTGTCTTTGTAGAGATGCCAGACAACACACCCACCCTGATGGGCATTTGCTGCAAGCTACACATGGTACCGGCATTGTGTCACTTGGTAAGTAAGGAACCTTGGGAGCCGAGGTGGGGGGGGAGGCCCAAGACCTTAGAGGCCATCCAGGACAACAGATGACGAGAGTGAGGCCCGAGAGGCAAAGTCCCTTGCTGAAGCAGCAGGGGTAGGATTTGAACCCAGGACCTACGACTCTGAATGAGTCTCTGTGGGAAGCCAGGTCGTTCCAAGACGGCTCGGGGAGGGGATGTGGCCTGGCATTTCTGCCGTGCTCAGGACTGGCCAGCTAGTTCTCTGGAGAATGACATTAGTCTGGTCCCCTAAGGAAACGTCATCAGATCAGAGGGGGTCAGACAGACGCTCATCCCCAGGGAGTTGAGGGGAAGCTTGGCCTTTCAACATGGGTCATTGATAAAGCAGCATCAGTAGGTGGCCCCCGTTAATGGGGTCCCCTGGCTCCGCTCTGCCACTTGGAACGGGAAGAGCTGAGCTGACAAGGGGAACCTGGGTCTAAGTGCCTAAACTTGGAGGCTGCTCCCCTGGAGGGGGAGGGTGAAGCCAGGGAGATCTCAGATTGCTGATGCTGTGGCCTGGGGTGGCCAGGAAAGTAAATCCAGGTTCTGGGGTCAATTTGCCCCAGGACAAAAATAAGAATTTTGTTGATTGCACGGAGGAAGCCATGTGCGTGGCCCCTGATCCAAGCAGCATTTTTAGAACCTACCGTGTGCAAGGGATTTGTTTAAAAAAGGCGTTTGGGCCTTTAAGGAGCGTGTGCTCTACATGGGTGAGGGGGAAGACGCAACGCGTCTTCAGTAAATGTCATCAGTAAATGCAGGTTAACTCGAGGAAGGCAAGATGGACCGGGGTGATGGGGAGGCATTCTGGAGGACGTGGTGCCTGAGCTTTGAAGTCAGCAAGCACTCAGAAAGCACCTACTGTGTGCGAAACAGAGTGCTGAGCCCTGAGGACATCAGAAAGCTGGGGAGGGTGTTGGGGGGTTCTGCTTGTAGGGAGCTCACGTGTGTACGCATGCATGACAAACAGCAGCTCAGCAACACGGGGAACGCTATAGAACTAGGAAGGATCACCAGGGCCTCTTAGCCCAGGAGAGAGGGCCACTACAGTATAGCTGGCCATGTGACTGGCATTTCCCTCCATATTCTGTATTCATTCCCTGGTCACTGAGCACCACCCAAGGGAGGGAACAAGCATTTATTAATAAGCACCTACTATGCTCCAGGCACTGTGCTAGGCACTGCACAGCCGTCATCTATTTGATCCTTAAAATCCTGGAAGGGAGGTGCTTTTATCATCCCCATTTTACAGATGAGAAGCCTGAGGTAGGCAGAGGTGAGGGAGATTGTCCAGGATCTCCCAGCTATTGAGTCTGAGGTTGGATTTGAACTCGGGTCTCGCTGGCTTCAGGCTCAGCGCTCTGTGCACTGTCACCCGAGCCGGGGAATTGCTGGCCTTCTCAGGGTTCTGCTCTGAGTGAGCAAAGGAGGGTGACCTAGTAACAGCTTTCCCAGAGGAGGGGGTAGGTAAGTGTTCAGCATTTACAAGGTAATCTAATCTCTTAGCAAAGTACTTAAAAAAAAAAGTGTTTACTCAAAGACCTCTTGGCCTTCACCTCCACTTACCAATTCCATTTGGGGGTGTGATCCCCATCATCATCTTTCCCTTTGCTTCCACGTGTGACGATGACTGAGCCATGGAGAAACCGAACATTTCGTACAAATTTTTACAAAAACATTCCTGTGCCCTGTTTGTGGGGAGGAGTCGGGGATTACCCCAGGATGGGCAGCAGAGAATAAATGAACTGAAAGAGCCTGGATTGGGAGTGAGGGTCTGGGTTTAAACCCTAGGTCTGCCCTTTCCTGGCTAGCTTACCACAGCAACCTCTCCAGGCCTCAGTCAAAATAAGAGTTACACTCCAGAAGGCCAAGATCCCTCCTGCATTAAACGTGACCCTCGGATCTGTATCAGTGGAGGGAGCCCCAGGTCAGGGTCAACAGGGGGTCTGGCCAGCGGCCAGACTTTGGAAAAGCTCATCTTCCCAGCCTGTTTCCTCTTTTGTAAAATGATGGGGCTCAGACTAGACGGTTGTTAAAAAGTAGATGACTTTCATTTTTCTGCTCTTTCGTGACTTAAGGAAATAAATGCATTAGCTCTCTAATGGGTGGATCTAATTACAGCCTCAAGTGACATCTGCTGATGGCTCTTCTGAACTCGGAGATCCGAGCCTGGCCCCTCTCAATGACGCAGAAAGATTTGAGATTGTGCAGAAATTGTTTGCTCTCTCAAACATCAGCCTGGAGCGAAGGGAGGCGACTGTGAAGGCCCTCATTATGAAGAAGCCTCAGTATCTCCCCCTCATTCTTTATATAATCCTGAATGGACTTTGTGCTTTAGAAAGAAAAGACAAGTGAGGCTGTCAGGTAAGGCCCCAGGCACTTTAGTGGTGGGCGTCTGCGTCCTGCACGCTCCAGGGAGCCTCCTCAGAAACTCTTACATCCAAAAAGCTGAACTCCTAAGACAAATCAAAACAAGCCGATTTTTTCCCCACTTAGGGCTTCCTTTTATAAGAGAACTCAGCAGCATTCCCTTTTTAAGTACAAAGCTTCCTAACATTTTTAATATTAGAATCACAAATATTCACCTGTTAGAAAAACACATTACAGAAAGGTCTGTCTGCAGATATCCTCTCAGCATCGACGATATTCCCTTTTAGGGCTGGGGCCCAGCACAGAGAGGGGAACCAGGTGGTTCTCATCCAAGCAGGAGAATTCTGAGGCCACCAAGGAGGCTGCCAACCTGTCTGCTTTCCCCCACCACCTTCGAAAGGAGGAACAGGCTGCTTGTGCTTTTTGACTGAGATGACTTGCTTCTGGTGGTGATGGATAAAGGAGCTGGGGTGGGCAGAGGCTTCCCACAGCTCCTTGTCCAACAACCTCCCAGCAAAGTCCTGGCCTTCTCTCTGATCCTGCTGGTGTATGATGGAGACCATGTGAGCCACACATACAGTTTACAGCATTCCAGATGTTTAATTTATAAAACTGGGGGACATCAGAGGAAATCCTAAACTGTCGTGCCTGTCTCTCTGTTGTGACGTCTCTTCAAAGTGACCTGCTATGTTCTGGTCACCCACGGGATCAGTTGCCTGCCTTTGGGGCTCAGAGCAGTCTAGCTTTCTTTATTTCTGAGGGTGACGAGGCTTCCTTGAGCTGGGCTGCCTTGCTTGGCCCATGGGACCGTACCTCTGGCCAGACTGAGGCTGGGCCACGCTGCAGTCGGAGACAGGTGCAGTTCCCAGGGGTCAAGGTTCCACCCAAGCAAAGAAAGCCTGTCTGCTAACCAAGTGAACAGCCCATTTCAGTTACTACATGTGACTAGGGAGGAAAAAAGGCTCACAGCCTCTTCCAATAATAAGTCTTTATTTCTTTGTATGTACAAAAATATTTCATTGGGAACAGGTAAATCTCATAGATTCTGTACATTTCTGTAACTTGCACTCTGGACAACACGTGAACAAGACACAAAATGTGTGAAAGGGGAGGAGGAGGAAGGGACTTTGTAAAATGGAAAACCCTCGTTTTTGGCTCGTCTTTGGGCAAAGCCGACATCAGAGTCTCCCTTCTATGGGAGCCGGGATGGAAAGGAGCAGCAGCTGACTTTATTAACACTGGAATGGCTAGATTCTTGCAGTGTGTTCACACTCGGGTCTTGGGGCTGCTGAGCTTTTTGTCCTCAGTTTTTAAACTGTTCTCTTCCACATATGTGCAAAAGACAATTATAAAGCACATGCATTTTAATTTCCAATGTAAAACTACACATGAAAAGAAATGTCAAGGAGAAGAAACATCCCAAAGCTTTTTCCAGCATCCTCGATGAACCTTAAAACAAAAATGCCCTAAGTCTGGAGTGCTGGCTCTTTAAAAAAAGAACCAGAGGCTCTATCTTTCCAGCCAACCTTATAGAAACATTGGGGGGCAAGAATTTCAATTTAAAATACATGGAGAAAAATTTTAATTAAAAAATTTTTTTTAATTAAAAAAAACTCTTTTGGACTTAATCTGCCACTTAGTCTGTTGCTGAATTCAGGGCAAACTGGTTCCTCTTTTTATCTGTCTAATGAAATTCTGACCAGGTGACCTTCAAGGTCCCTTCCAGCCCTAAATCCGTAAGCCTGTGAACTCGCCCCATTCCTCACCTGGACCGTGTGAACCTCAGTTTACTAAACAGGACTTTTCTACTTAGAAGGCTAATACACCTTTATAGTTTAAATTCTCATCCTTTTGTTAAAAAAAACAAACAAACAAAACCTCTATGCATTTTAAAGTGGCAACAATTAGTGACTGATCTTATTATAATTTGGAAAACTGAAAAACGAGTTAATTATTGCTACCTCTTTTACATGGTTAAGGTGGAAACATGCAACTAATGTAAAGTTTATGGGAAGCTTCTCTGATATTGGTCTAATTGGCCAACCAACAAGCATTTCTTAAGCACCAACTGCATGGTGCCGGAGCTGGTTTCGGGGCCTACAAAGGCACAGAGCCCCCCGGACTGGTGCAGGCGGAAATGCCACAGTTGTTGCACATTTTAAAAATTGTTCCCTCTGACTCGGGCTCTGCGCCACCCTCACCAACCCTGGCTGAGCCTGAGTCATTCGTCCTGCTATTCATAAGCACCGTTAATGTCACCTGTGGGTGTCTCCACTTAGCAAAGACTTGGAGGCAGAGAAAGGGAAAAGGGGATAAAGTTGGCTACTGAAGAACTCTGATCCAACCCAAGCTGGGCCTTAGGGCCAGGAGAGCCAGTGGTGGGGGTGGCAGCTCCTAAGAGGTATAAGGAATGTGGCAACTGCCACCATGAGGTAAACATTCAGGAAACCAGCCCAGGCCTTAGGAGAAAGGAAATGAATCATAATCACAAGGTGCTGGGCACATTTCAGGAATACCCTCCCATCTCATGACCCCCCCCCCCCAATATTTAATAGTCTAAATATTTTAATAAAACAAAAAAAGGGAAAATATTAGTTGCCTGCATTTTGACCTAATTTTACATTAATCTTCCATTTGTCATAATCTGACCTTGAATGCTAAACTGCTTTCTCCAGAACGCACCTTAGGGCTTTGCTCCATGGCTGCAGAGAAAGAATTTCAGGACGAGGAAAGAAGAGTCTGTTCCTTAGACTATCCCTGAGTTATTCACAACAAACACAGAGACAGAGGAGTCGTTTATTTCTGGGTGTAAGGCTTTGGCTCCAGAAGGGATTATGTACTACGGGCCAGATCAGCATCTCCTAGGCCTGCATCTTTGGGGCTGCTATGGGATTAAATATGGGGCGTCCAAATGGTACATGTCAAGCACCTATTCCCAGGTTTGGAAAGACGCATTTTGGAGAGCAAAGGGATATGACGAAAATGACTGCATCAGCCCCAGGAGAGAATCACGGGGGGTGGGTCAAGTTCCGCATGCCCCAACCCCAAATCTAGGGAGTGCTTTCTGAATCACGATTTTTCATTTCAGAGGTGAAAAAAAACTACATGACCCTCTGCTGAGAAGGAGGAAATTAAATAGCCTCACTTGACAGAAAGCTTCAGTCTTGTCACAGAAAATTCAGGATTAGAACTCCAAACCTATCAGAACAGACTCAGGCCAACTTCACACAGCTGATCCAGAAAAGAAACACTCTCGATCAAGCGTAGGGGTGGGGAGGGGGAGGGAAGAGCTGGGTCTGCAGCAGCTGCCAGCATCATCTTCCTAACTGGAAAAAGCCCATCCTGGGAACCCAGGAGACAGAATAGGGTCAATGACCAAACACCATCCAACCTAGAGATCAGATTAGAAGAAGAAACGCAGAAGAAGTATGCGCACGTGTGTGTGTACACACACATGTACATAACACCCACCACAGGCAGAAAATCAAGTAAAGTCTTCACCCCCACCCCTACCCCCAGCCCCAGACCAGGAGAGCCAATCAGTCTATCTGACAATCTTCATAAACCCCTGGGCCAACAGAAGAGCAGCTCTAAACACGTGGCCCTAGGGGCAGCTAGGTGGCGCAGTGGACAGAGCACCTGCCCTGAAGTCAGGAGGACCTGGGCTCAAATCCAGCCTCAGGCCAAACACTTGACATTTACTAGCTGTGTGACCCTAGGCAAGTTACTTAACCTCAACTACCTTAAAAAAAAAACAAAACCAAACCAAACCACGGCCCTTTCTCATTTCAAAGGCATTTTATCACAACATTAAAATGACCATTTCCTAGTAAAGTAACTTGTCACTTTTTTCTTAATTGCTGATTAAAAATTCAAAGTTACAGGTAATGATACTTTCTGGGTTATTTCTTCCCCACCTATTCTTCAGAAGTCAGATGAGTACCTGTATCCGGGCAGTACCAGAGTCTTCAAAACCATAGACAGGAATTCAGCAAAGCCAAGAACTCTGGTGTAATTAAGTTTTATAACACCAGCCATGGGATTAGATGTTCAATTTTATTATGCATGAGACACTTTATGGGACATCAGTTCTGAGATAGAATTTGGTTATTTTATACAATCTGATGATACATATGTGTGTGTACATACATATACATACACACAGTATGTATATGAAACATGGCAACATCTGAAAAAAATGAGCAGTTATCTCTTTACATAGAATTTCAGAACTGCCTCCTCCTCATTAGCACAGAATAATTTTCAGAACCCCTGACAGTTATTTAAATACAACAATGTTAGGTTTTGGGTAAAGAAAAAGAATCCAGACCCTCAAACTGGGGGTGTCAGGAGTCAAACAGCAGGCGAGATGATGGATTATTTCTGGCCAGTTTCCAAGGCTTTTGACCTGCAAAGCCTCATCAGTTAACAAGTGTGCATGAGCCCATGGCCATCGCTCCTTCCCGGGAAGCTGTGGTCCTGCCTAATGAGTGAAGAGAGTCCTTTGGCATATGGTACATGCTGATACATAATTAGCTCGATGTTACCATGAGCTTTTGGGAAGGGGATGTCTTCTATGGCTCATGATGAAACGTCAAAGTAGCCCAGACAGACCAACCTGGCTGTGAACCTGATTTCCCGTACCTGGGCTATTGCCTCTCCTCAGGAAATGCTTCATGCCCTGATTTGTTTGCTGTTTTAAATAAAAATTCAGACTGACAAGCCAGCTGCAATAAAAAGCAACACCTCGTGTGGTCTGGGTCAATCACTGCACTGATTGTTGCATTGGACAACACCATTTCTATTTTAGGGGCAAGCACAGTTTGGCATGAGTGCACACCACATCACACCACAATGAAGTCCCAATGGAGCTAGCTGCCAGAAGGAAAGGTATTTTGGTCCAAACACAGCTCCTCCTATGGGCCAATGGCATCTTCACCAAGGAAAATCATCTTCGAGGCTGTTTATATATTTCAAAAGACCGTTCAAATTCTATTTCCCACTTGATAAAAACATGATGGTCCACATTGCTGCCTCTCCTCATTTAAGGGAGATTTCTAATACATGACCTTCAATCTCAATGACTCCTTCCAGATTAAGTCAGCATCTGGTCCCAAGTAGCCTTCCAACCCATTACCAAGATGGCCCTTCACACAGAGCGTCTGGAATCACTTCGAACCATTCCCTTATCATCAAAGCTCCCTACAGCTCCTGGCTCTACTCCCAAGGGCACGTAACATCCATGTGTCCTCCAAGAACCATTTGGATAGCCGGCCCCTGGAGAAGCCTCCAACACCAGTGCAGAAGGCCAACCCCTCTGGGTCTACAGTCCTCATCAGGTGACTGGGGGGCCCACCATATGGGAGCTGCTCTGCTGTGAGGCATGGCCCTAGGTGGTTTGGCAATCCTAAAGGGAGTGGAAGGAAACCCACAATTTGGTTCCCTTTTCGCAGAAAGGAGGCTCTTGGAGTGCCCTAAAGACATACCCTAGGATCAAGGGTGTGGAGCTAGAAGGGCCTCATTTTACAGATGGGTTTGGTCCAGGTCACAATGCTGAGGAGCAGAGGTGGGCTGGCCCTCAGGGCTTCCCTTTGGCCCTGTGAGGTCCCCAGACACTCACCAGGTGGCTGAGCCCCGTCCTTGTGGCCATCTTGCCTAAAAAAGCCACATGTTCAGCGTTTTCCATCCCTGATTAGGACACTGTGACAACTGAGAGCAAAGGAAGCCAAGGAGATGAAACCGCTCCAAGCCCACTTCTCGGGAAGGTGGGTATGCAGGCACATCCACCATTAGTAAGAGAAGTGCATCCCTCCTAACAGACTGCTTTCTAAAGATACTTGGTGCAGCTCGTTACGACGGGATGAAGAAGCAGCATGTCGGCTAACTTAATCCATGAGTCCAGAGTTACCTCCGTCCTGGTGCTACCCCAGAGACAGTCCCTGCCCCACCAGGCCATCCTTCCTAGGAGGCCAACGCATCCCTGAGAGGGGACAAATTCCAATCTCCCTTTTGCTGCATTTTATATCAGAAAGTGATTGAGCTTAACTGCACTGCCATCTTAAAAAATACAAAACACGGAAACCCTAAAATCACAGAGAGTTACCTCTAAACAGGTCCCCTGACTTGTGTTGTGAGAAGACAAGAAACTGGTGGAAATAGATACTTATTAAACACTGTGACTATTTTAGAGAATATTTTCTGGGAGATGTTAAATACCCACCCTAAGACCAAGAAAGGGATCTGTGTGTTACGACTAGAGAACAACAGGACCTGAAAAAATAACTAGCAATTGAAGTCTCGGCTAGCACAGGGTCTTAATGAATTATGTAACTACTTTAGGTGATCTGTACCCTGTCCCGTTGTGCACATCTTGGTCCTTGGAAACCTAAGGCGATCAGTGGAAGTCTCCATCTTTCTTACAAGGTCCCAGCCAGAGTCTTCTTTTTCCTGGTGCCGTGCGGGAAGCAATCTTCAGCAGTCACCTCGCCGGCCCCCAAACCCTCAAACCCAGTGAGATTCAGGCACCTATCCTCACCTTTGAAGTGATCACAGAGCGCCAGGCCCCAGGAAAGCGTCTGGCTGGCTGCCTGCATCCTTCTCTACGTGTCTGCAGCAGGGTTTCTATGCG